CGCTCTCCGCTCCTACACATCTAATTGACTTCTGCGAGTCGGGCAATAAATTTTATTTGTTTGCTTTGATAAAACTAATAACCCAAAACCGGATGCCTTTATAAAAGCTATTGCCGATTGAGTGTATCCCGAAGATATTTTGTATCTAGGAGAATGAGAAATTGATTTATTTTCGACATGACACGCGATTAATTCACATACGATCACGACGATCACCTCTTTTCGCTGATTGGTTTATATTCGGCTGAATAGATTTTCCGAAATAATATTTCAAACCGCAAAAATGTATTGTACAATATTTTTACAAGTGCAAAAATATTTACAATGCAGACATAGTGGGCTGATGTTAAAAAAAAAAAAAGAGAAACAGATAAATAATTGGCAGTACATTTAAATACAATGTAAATTACGGTATATGTTTTGCGTGATATACACGTATTTCCTTTTATGAAAGTCACACAATACCGGCAAAATAATAGGTTTGGCATGTTAAACCATATGGTCCTCTGCATTTATTGAAATATCCAAGGTGTTTATTATTTTGTAAATTTGTTTGCGCATTGCGATTACAATGTTATGCGCTCGGCTATGCGAAGAAGAGAATGTAATCATACAATTGTTCGCATATCCGAAAATATCTATTGTTTATAGAACGCTCACATCCGTATTTTAATGCATGTATTTGCATTATTCAGCGAGTACATGCAAAATTTTCTATAAATTGAGAGCATCGAGGAGGAAGCAAATCACATAACCCAATTTGCAAATTCCGATATCAATATAGCATGTAATACAGCAAATTAAACTCGAAAATTGATTATTTTTGTGTCTTGTCTTATCAGACATTTCGTCTCATCTTGTAAAATCAGTTTCATCGATTCCCATTAACTTCAACTCGCTGAATCCCATGTCCTGTTCCAAAAAATGACAAACGGCGAGTTAAAATGCGGTTAAAGTTAATCAACGTAGAGAAAACCGATCGTTAACCGTTCGCATTGTCCTGTCGGGATTCCCTGCGGCAAACATAAGTTCTAATCCATTCGACACGTCGTAGGAAAAGAATATCGTTAGAAAGCATCAGCGATCTGCGCACGCAACGCGGCGGCGACGCGTGTGATTTAGTGGGAAAAGTTCGCGGATCGTGCGGCACCAAGTGAATCGGCATCTCACCTTTCTCCGATAAACTCTCTATCGGCCGCAAACGATTGTGGAAGGAAATGCACGACTAAATAATCATTGGTTCATCGGCGCACACATGCATAGAAGGAAGTCTCTGGATTCTTCACCGGATGTTCGGTTCCTCTTTTCGTAGATCGTGCCGAGTAGCGGTATGCAGGACAGTAGGTCGCCGTCAGCAGCGGTAGATCAGCAGCTTCCGCCCCTCTTCTTTCCTCATCTTTTCTCCTTTCTGCCTCCCCATTGCCCCCCCCCCCCCTCCCTTCCCCCCCTCGACAAATCAGGTTTTTCTCAAACGGCTGTTCACTACTGTCTTTTCCTCCTTCTCTTCACCGAGGAGAAGCAGCATAATCCAGAGCTCGTTAAAGCTCGTTACTTTGTAGCCCTCCAACAGATGAATCGATAACGCTATCGAAATTGTTTCTTTAAATGGCAATTATTATGGCATTAATGACTATGAAGATGTTTTTGCGCGAAAAAGAACGGAGAGCGTCTCTCATCATCTCGATTGCGCTCGGTTGCTTTGTGCTCGTTTGTATTCGAAGTCATTTGTTCTTCTTCTTCCACTTCTTTTGATCGCTCGAGGCGGTAATATCGATAGTATTCACTTCATATACCCGATATTACAAATACCGTCGTAGAACAGATTGCTTCCCCTCACACTTTGCCTAGAGTACTCACCTTTCTATGTGTTCTTTCATTCATCCTAGCGCTTTCTCTCTCGCTCACGCACTCATTCACACAGACTTGTTTGTCGTCTTTCGCTTGATCTCTCTCTTTCCTCCGCTCCTTTTTCCAATCGTCTCTCTCCTCATCTTGCTCTCCGTGTCTCAATCCCCATCCCTCGTCTTCCGACAAGTCCGAAGATTTTGTGAGAGTCGTTCGGTCCTCGTGAGGCAGAGAGAGAGAGAGAGAGAGAGAGAGAGAGAGAGATCCTCCACTCTTCTTCCACCACCAACCTTCCAAACCGGGATCTCACGTATTCCCAAAGACGAACGGCAACTTCGTTACTCGCATTCACGACCGACATGTCGTATCATTCGAAATTCACCAGCAAAAACACGCACCGCCGCCGCAAGCTCGACGGTTCTAGATAAGCACGAGCGGATTCGATCACGTGTTACGAGTTCGCGATACTGTGAACGTGCTCGCTGTGAAGTTTCCGGATCGTGAGATCTAAAGTCATTCTAAAGCTAAGATGACCCTTCGCACGGATTGACTCTCGAAAGGAAGTTTGTTCGCAGTGTGGATATTTCGGATTTAAGGATCAAGAAGTGCTCCATTACTACCATATTCTCGTAAGTCTTCAATTAACACAGTTGAGTCTCTTATGAGAAGTTTATATATAAGAATAAAAAGTAAACAGAAAAGGGATATCTCGATATTTCGAATAAATTACAAGTTTTTAATGTGAGATAATCTTGAGCTCGGCCATTTTTTAATTAATTTTTAAATCGCTTTTATGTAAGTTTTTGTAAATATAAAATAATATAAAATAAAAGTTAGAATATGTAAAAAAATAACCACATAAACGTTAAAAAGATTGCTATATAAAATTGAAATAATAAAACGTTTATATATTTGTATATCCTTGTTATTTCAAAGTACGATAAATTACACATAATATCAATTACCATATTTGAGATTTTTAACATCGTGGAAATGTCACAATGAGAAATAATTTTCTAAGTACATAGAACTTTTAAACTTTATTAATCTGTTCATATTTTCATAATTCATAATTTAACGTTGTATTATCTGACGTTTAAATAAATTTGAGAGTGAAATCATCATAATGACACGTAATGAGCCTATCATGTTCATTTATAATCATGTCTTGAAATATGTATTAGAAAATTAAGGCTCTAGATGCCATTCAATTAACATTTTCTAAATAAAACTTCATCATTCCGCAACATGCAAGTTCCATAATAAATGTGAATAGTTCTTTAATTAACTTAAAAGATTTTATCTCGATATTTTTATTAAATGCAGCATAAATTATGTTAAAACTCGTTACGGTACCGCATTCTCGAAAATTAGTTAAGTTAATAGTAACTTAAAAATTGCGAGAACCGCTATTCTGTGCACACAAGCATAATTAAAGTAATTCAAAAAATTTGTTACCATATGCAAGTGTGGAATACGAGCAAACTCTACGAGTATATTCTTTGATATAATAAATTGTACGCGCGAAAAACGTTTCATTAAATATTCTACTAAAAAAAAAAAAACGCAGCTGATACATTAATTACTTCCCAATTATTTCATGCAGGTATAAAACATTTAAACGAGATGCAGATATATATTGTATATCATACGATAACTTTTTTTAACGCAGAAACTGTTTCGCAATTAACTTTAGATACAATAACTGTTCAAATCAATGCATGTTCATGCTTTATATTCATCGTTATTAAGCGATGCTTATATTATTCCGAATTATTCATTGCAGATATCCATATCCATTGTTCTATTTTCTCTCTCGCAAAATCTTTCAATATCTTTCTCTCGTCTGTGAGTTTTATCATACCATAAAAGGCACATGTTTCCAACAAAGGTATACGGAAATTTGCTAGGCATCTGTGATGCGCCAGCGAGATTATACACCGCAGTTCCGAGATCCGATGCATCATGCATGGACCATTTCTGTCGCTATAGAGTGTCGCATCGCTAACGGCAAATATTTTATTCTGCTAGGACGCGCGCACGTGTACAAAGTGTACAAGAGGACTTTTATAGAAGAAAAATGGATACTCTTTCCATTTTTGATAACTTCTGTTTGAATTTATTTTCCTCTTTCCACCTTCTTGTTTTACAGCGCTCGCTTTTAAAGAAATCAAAGACCATCGTGCATCTTGAAACATTAATGTCAAACTTCTTCGTACCGTTCTTCGCGTCGATTTTTTTTTATAAAAAATTTCTAGAGAAGTCTATAATTATAAAAATATACCTTACATTAAAGAATAAACAGGAAAAAATTAAATTTCATTCATACAAGTAGATAATAAAACTTTTGTGTATTTTTTATTTATTTTCAATTTAGATTTGTGCATTAATACTATTTCAATACTTTAATACTATTTTAATACTATTTCATGCAGTATTTAATTATAAAAATATCTAACTTGAAAATTATAAAAAATATGTTATACATAAGTGTAGACATGTAGAGTCAAGATATCAGTCAACTAACAATAAGATGTTTTCTGATAACGTCTAATAACACATTTTGCATATAGAGTAGGATTTTGCCGTGATCGAGTTTTGACGCTTATTTCACGAGAGATACGATATATCGTGAATTTCTCGACCCGTCCCACGTGGATTGCATCGCGGCGGGCGCGTAAGAACATTTCGCCCGGACGTATCGAGAAAGAGCGCGACTCACAGTGAATAATTCTGTTCGCAGGTCCAGCTCGGCTCGCGAAAAAGTGGGCCGGTCTGCCCGGAGGCTATAGGCCAGTTCGTGTTTTGTGTACGAGGATCAGACTGAAAGAAATTTGTGAGAAAGGAACGTGTGGAAAAACAGACGAGCGAGAAAAAAGGATGTGTACTTCGCTAGAGGGAAGAAAAGAAAGGCAAAAAATCGTTAATCGGTTTCGGGCATACTTGCGGTGAGGAACGAAGATCGAGAGATCGTCGCAAAGAGATTGATCAACGATAATGAGATTGGTTTAGCACTGGCGATGTCGAAGATCGGGATTCAACAAGTGAAGAAACGAGGTTGGGAGATGCGGTGAGTACAAAAGTGAATCAAGAATGAAATGTTCCTGCCGGCTGTTTCTGAGCGGAGAATTGCGAAGAAGAGCCCGTGTGGGAGAGAATAGCGGTTAGAAAATTAGACGACGCGGTCTGCCTCGAGGCAGCTTACATTTCTGCCAGAGACCAGACGTGCGGAAAATCGTGAGAGAGAAAGAGAAAGGAAGGGCTAACCTCGTCAAGGACAAAGTGAAGTCAAAGCGAAGAAAAACGAGGGGTCGAGCGAGAGTAATCAGCACGCGTCGCTCTAATGGATACGATTATAAAAAAAAGAGTCGATTTTTAAACTTTATCGTTAGGAAGATATTCAACTTGTGTGTGTGCATTACGAGATAGAAAAAAGCAAAATTATATCAATATAAAAAAAAATTTTTTTGTCATAACTTATACGCATTAGATAGAAATTTTGCCAATATAAATAGACATCAGGTTGAAAAATGAAAAAAACTAAATTGATTAAACACGTGCTAATTAATTTCACCTGCAAGCTATGCGAATAGGATACGAATAATTAAGGAATAATATTGACCAAGAATCCAAGACATTGATTCAAACGAGAATACCATTAGTGGATAAATTATTATTTACTTAGGAGAAATCAATCATATAGCATATGATTAAAAAAACTTGTTCTCAGAAAGGAAACAAACAATAATCTTGGAAGCCATTGCCTCATTGAAAAATCTGGAAAACGCGAAAAAAATCTGTATCTATAAAATTTTAATTGAAACCATTGAATTAATCGATGTCACACACACAAACATACACACACAATTTTTCTTTCGCGTAAAATATTGATTTATATTTATCAAAATCTTCATACTTTTTACTATCCAAAAAAGCTCATCACAAAACATTCGAAATCGATTTGGCGAAAGCCTGCGATTGCGAAGGCAGCTAAGGGCACACAGATAAAGAGCCGGCAAAAGTCATCGTCGCGACAGATTCGCCCTCGAGTATGCCGTAAAAAGTATTTATTTGCGAGAGGTGGGGCGGGGCGACCCAAGGTTCACGGAGACGCGTGGCTGACGGGTCAAAGATCGCATCGAGGACAAAGAAAAAGGATCGTGAAAGTTCCAAAGTACCGGTAAAAGAAAAATCAATCCGAGAAGTGGATGTCTTGAACGGTGTGTCCCGGAGAGCTGGGAGGAATGATCGTAAAGACGATTCTCGAATAACCCTCCTTTTTAACCCTCCGTCTCGCAACGGGAATAAATAAATACCGAGTTCAGAGCTACAATCGAAGAGGATAGGCGTTAGACAAATAAGACGCTAAAAGAGTGGACGAAGATGAGCAGGCAAAGCGTATCACTTCCAGGCATCAATTCCTGTGAAAGGATCAGGCCGGAACGACCCAGAAATACGATACAAAGACTCGTATGGGGTCCCGGCTCACAGTTCCAGATCGGCCATATCGGCATCCCGGAAGATGAGGGCTCAAATCCGCGGATGGCATTGAGAAGGTACGTAGACTTTACGGAAGTTATTAAGGGGTGCTTTCCAGCAAGAAACCACAGATAGACACAATGTCACGCAGTTGGCTACCGAATAAAAAATTTTTAGTCTCGGAAATTTTTCTATTTGACAGCCAATCGTATACATTGGGTTTATGTGCGTTTCTTGCTGGAAAGCTCGCATTAAATTGCTCGAATCAGATCACTCTTCAAAAGCCTAGTGTTTTAAAGTAGCAATTCTCAAACTGCACTTTCCGCACATGTAACAAAATCCATATGCTATTATCTGGAGAAAATAGATGTCTATCTATACAATGTTGTAAAAATCCGGATGAAAAGAAAAGTTTGAAAATAGCTGCCCTTAAAATTTAGAAGTTCCTCGCGTTTCTAATTAATCGCGGTTGATTAATTACACAATTTTGATATGAACCGAATAAAAATTTTCACATTTTTAGTTCTTTAGTTGAGTACATTTAGTATGATGAATACATTGTAGATACTAATTACACATAAAGGCAATATATTGCAATTATACAGCACGGTGCTTTCATGCACCGTACAAGAAGAATCATAACAAAGGATTTTGCGAGGCGGCAACCGTACAGCTTATAATTACAATTATAATTACAATTTACTTGCTACATATCATATATACGTTGATATGACGTGCCGCTCTACCTGCGTGTAACTATAACAGTTTCTCGCATTATCTAATTACATTGTCTCTTCCTCTCTCGCGAACCAAGAATCTGAGATGATTACCAACATATCCGTCAGTCAGATAGCCGCGACGTGTAATAGGTTTATTAGGCCCCCTATGGGGGTGTCGCGCATCAATAAAGAACACCGCGAGAGAGGAACGTGACAATCAATTATATGAAGGCGACCGATCGATAAAACGTATGGAAATAACACAGTGAAAAAAGCAAACGTAAAAACGATTCGCGTTTAATAAAAGAAATATATGCACGAGTTTACAAAGTCCTGCGATAAATCCGCTTAACGCCGTTTCATAATAATAGGAATAATCCGCGCGATAATAAATCGCCGACGGACTTATTTGTCTGCGACTCGAGATAAATTAATGCTTCGACGCGACTTTTTAATAATGATAATTCGTGGTTATACTGATTGCCGTGCTTACGTAAGATTAGCGAGATACGTAATTAGCACTGACAGTATAGCTACAAATACAGATCGTTAATCCAATCACCCATTATGTGTTAATAAACATATATTAAATATTAATTATTAACTCTTTTGTTTTAATTAAATTTATTACTTACTTAAAAGGATTAAATTGCTTTAATCCCTTTTTTATGTAACGAAATTCACAAACTTCTTTCAAGCGCATTTAATCAACCTTTATCAAGAGCGCATACAGTGTGATTACTTTTTATATCAATATCTTTATCAAATTTGCAATTCACAGTTACTGCAAATTTAATTCCAATTCAATATATAGAACTGATTTGCTATATTTCCGAAAATATTCAGGTGTTCAAATTGTATATATCATATATTATCAAGCAGAATATTATATTTGATTTTCGCAATCTCGCTCTTTTCAGTTATATTACATAAAATATAGTACATGCAATATGACATTAATCGCATGAGAGAATTAAGTTAACTCAGACATAATCACAAATCAATAATCATAAATCTAAACTACTATTGTCAGTGAATTATTAATGTACATGCCGATATCAGCATTTCCACAAATCTATAACGACAAATTCGTTGTCAAATGAATCGAATTTGCCTTTTAATCCGTATTTTCATCACACATTTTGCTATATATATTTGTTCGCTTCTGCGTATTGCTTAAAATGCAACGTAAAAATCGTATCTGATATCACATGGGACGATAAGCAGAAATTAGGCATATATAGCAAAATAAATGTGTCATAAGAATACAATCTCTTAATTATAAATTTTGTTGTTGTTGTTATACATATATATATATATATATTGAATAAACATAAACATCACTTTTGTCTAGGTATATATTGTCTAGGTATATATAGTTTGCGTCGTAAAGTTAAATCTTGTTTCTACTCTCCCGACACTGTTCTGGTTTATACAATGTAAAGTTCCGCCAACAAACTATCGCACACATGCTAACGGGATACGGCTATGTCCCTTCTTTCAGACTGCTAAGATTGTACGAGGGTAGACAATACAGGGAGGCGGCCGGCTTCCTGATGAAACTACCGCATTACACTCTGAAGGCTGCTTTGACAGATATTCCGGTGGACCTGTTGATCGAGACGTTGCCGCACAGCCTCATCTTGCTGGAGGCGCTCTATTCCCGGCTAGTGGAGCTGAACGTCAGCGATACGAAGATCTTGCGAATCGAGCAAGTCCTCTGGAGGATAGTGCATCTGATATCGACCAGTCAGGACCACTCCCGACCGCGGATCTGGTGCAAACTTCTCGTATCCTTGAATAGATTATCGCCCAACACAAAGAACACACTGATATCGAGGAGACGCGCCCTAGAGAGAGCCGTTGAAGGACTCGGCAAGCACGGACTGGTGCCCTCCTCGCAAACGAACAACTCCGAGAACTCCGTTACGCCGAATCTGGTACCTTTGCCGCTTGCGTTGAAAGAGGAACTCGAGATGCGAATGGAGACTTACAAATTAGCGTTACACAAGATCGAGAATTTTGGCAAGCACGCTGGAACCCATAAAGGTACATAAAGACTCCGATTTTATTGTTATCGCAAAGATCGCGTTATCTAGCACGTTGCAAATTAATACTTCTATACAGTAACCTCTTCTAACGTTATATGTTTGTGAATATTTAAATCATCGTCTCGATTTTTGAAAGTTTCAAATTAGCATAATAATATTACATGAATTTTGTGATAATATAAGTAAATAACGATGGTAAATCAAAATATTCGTAATTGATGAGGTAAGCGATGAAGACAAATGATCCATTTATCCTTCGATTAAACGGTTAATTATTCAAAAAAGAAGTGTCAATTGCCGCTGGGGCAGTGTAACGCTAAACTGGCGTGCAATATTTCGCAATTATATGCTATTTAGAGTAAATCCGCCCGGATCTTCATACGGGATTCGGCATTATGACGGGCACGTTATCGAAATATTCGCACCGGAAAACCGCAATACGAATTTAGTCAAAGTTATCCGATGCAAAACGCGTTCATCGGTGTGCATCGCGACGATACACATTATAATATCCAATTATCATCTACTGCGCCGCTAACTTCATCGGAATAAAGTTGCACGGTCGTCCCATTACCGCGGGTATGTATGTACATCTACAACACCGCGAAATTGTCAAGTATCGGATTTTAACGCGCCGCGTTACGTTTACAAATGCAAAATTAACTAATGTCGGGGCAGTGCACCGTAAGCCATTTACATAGGAGCATTACATACTGCGCCGCTCTCTCGTTCGCGGATATCTTTCGTGACGCGCGTTATCATCCATGTATTACCGAGGAGAAAGATGCTACAGAGGTGACGGAAACGTGCGTAAAATATCGATCGATGAGCGATGTAAATATCGCTTGTAAATATTGATAAATGTCTACAGAAATGTTACTTTCACAAGTGTCATCCCGTGGAAACAAGGATTTAAAATATACGAATAATTATATTTTCTGCAACAGTCCAATTATACGTATGTTTCTTGTAAATTATAATCTTAAACATGCATTTTTGCATGTAAGTTGCGTATCTTTTAAACGTCATCTTCTAATCGCCAGTGAAACAAATTTCAATTACGACAAACTCCGTCTCTTCTTCCTTCGATTTTTATTAAAATATATAATTAGCATTATAGTAGGTAACTCATTTGCTCCATCATTAAGCGACAATTTAATTATGCTAATAATTAACAATATCTTTTGTCAAGCGATAGAAATGGTCTCAGGATTTTATTCGCTTACAATTAGATGAAGAAAAGCATAATGGGTATCTCACATTATGATATAATGGGAACGGACCGAACTGTAACTTATTGAAGCGTGAACCCGCGGCAATTTATGCCTCGCGCGCAAGAGTGTGGAAACGGCGCATAACTTAATCCCGTTTCATTATAAAGAAGAAAGTATGGCATATTTCGCTGTGATGTCAGACACTGCCGGCGATTTCGTGCCGGATATCGGCCCGACTATCTGCGTATAACTCGAGGTTCCGCGCCGTAAAAAGATGGCAGCGAACGCTAATAATCGTCTCGCGCGCGGTTCCGCTCTAATAATAAAAAATAATAATAAAACTACTGAAGAGAGAGGGAGGGAGAGAGAGAAAGAGGCTCCGATATTTTCTTACGCTTTTGTAGCGGATCAAGGTGTACAGGCAGCCTCGCATCAGCGGCAGCTTTCCCTGAAATACAGTGAGATCCAGCAGCGGCTGATCGATAATCAAAGCCTGCTCAACACCTTGGAGAAAGCGGGCGGACCGTGCAGCTTGGAGAATCTACTGGCGGAGTTGAAGCGCCGGGTCGAGCAGGACAAGGAGGCGCTCCGACAATGGACGGCCTTGCGAAAATCGACCTTCGCACCGACGAACGCGAAGAACCCGGCCCTCGCCGCCAGGTTGCTGCAATTTTCGAGGGGCTGCGCGTTCGCCCTGCAATTTATGAGCGAGAATAATCCGCAGGTAAGCGAGAAACGTCACACTTCCATCCAAGTATTCCCGAAATTTAATCCTCGAAAATATACGTAGGTTTTTATCTTCCGCGTCCTTGCGAGAGGAGCAGAGTCAGATTTTGCTCGATTTTTTTTTTTTTAGACATCGAATTAAAAAAGTTTTCCAAAAACAAATATTAATCACAAATGATGGAAATAATTCGACTTCGAATAACTCAGAAAATACGTTTCCAGGTTCGCTATATTAACAATAACGTGTAAGATAGGCGTCGGTAACTAATGTTATCTATCCGCGAAACAATTCACGCGATCGTTTCAGGCGAGGAAGATTTGACATAGAAACGGTAGTTCACTGGAACAATGATCGCGTAATTTGTGTGCGATCGCGATTTATTTTTCGTGCCCCTCCGTGAGAGATTCGTACGGTCGGCGGCAACAATAAGAAAAGGTGAAGGACCTGCGCGAGAGGGCACGCGAGTCCGAGACACAACACGTGCAATTGACAATGAGAGTATTCTCGCGGGACTTGCGACAACTGATACGTCCAAGACAATCCGCACGACGTCGAAAGATACCATGTGCAACAACCGTGGAATCCCATAAGGGTCCTACGACGATCCTAAATTACACGAATTTATTCTTGTCGCTGCTTAGACTCGGTTGCTCTTGACTAGGATGACATGCAAATCGCGCGAATTACTCGATAGAAATCAATTAGCGAGAAATAAATTTCTCGCGCGCGATTAATAAATAAATCGAGATGCGATTATCAACTCGACATTAAATTAAAACGAGCACGACGTCAAACCAGGATTGAAACGATAGCATCCGTGTGTTTTTTTTATATTCACGCTAGCAAAGAGCGGAAATATGTGGAGATATAAATTATTTCTATCAGTGTAGCGAATCAATTACATCGAATATATTTGATTCAAATATCAAAAATGCTGAAGAGCTTTAGTTGAAATAAAATTAATCATTATACACAGGTATACACCAAATAATCATATAATCATGCATACCAAATAGATATGCAGTATCGTATGTGAATCGTTAGCCCCCATGCTATTAATAATATGTCATAATCGCAACGAGAAATATAGATTGAAGCTATATATCGCAAAATATATGCACAAAGAAAAATATATATGAATCAAATAGAAATAATTTTTTAATCGTGTAGAAGCAAGCGCAGCTGAGCGACCAGTTTTATCATAAATTTCGTCTCATAATTCGCGTATTCATAATTCATGACCGAAAACATGATTATAGAGTTCCAAGTAACATTGTCTCATCAAATTTATCGATAAAATCGATATACACGATATTCATGAGAAATGTTTCGGAACGCAGGCGTATGCGAACGTTAATACGGATGCTATAATATCGCGCGCGCGCGCGAATATTAAAAATACCGTGTCATAAATTATCACCATCGGGAGCGACGTCGCATGCGCGATAAATATTTTACGCGTCTAACTGCCATCGTTACCGCACAGAGTTTCGCGGCGCGATAAAAATTTTAAATCGTTTCCGCTGATTGGTATACGCTTGGCTTTTACAGAAAACGTTTTGACAGAAACGCGACTGATTGCGCGCGAGATGCAACGGCGGACAAACGCGACGCGGCGCAACGCATCGGGACACCCGTCTATGAGGAGAATAGCAATTTCTATTTAATCGGATAATACAAACGGCAAAATTAGTTTGCTTTCTCCCCTTTCGACCGACGTCATTCGCTTCAATGAGAAAAATAATCGCCTCTAGCTCGGTCGATAGATTTTGCCATGATTGACAGAGAAATTCTTCAAAGTGTTTTAGCGGTAAATGCGCAGCGTTCATCCTCTCGCGAAATTTAGTCGAAATTCGATTGGGAACGCGATGAATTCCGCCATGGCGTCATATGTTTAAACTGCTTCTCGCTAATGGACAAACGCGCGGCGACAAAGTGTTTTAGAATCGTTTGTATTACTATCGTCAAATTGAAAACAAAAATATACGAATAATTAATCTCTTTTACTCTCACTAGAACTTCAAACGACCGAAAATGACGATCGTTGAAATGTAAAAAGAGCGGAAAGTGGAAAATTGTTATATAACAGAATTGGAAAACTCGCTTCGGCATACCGAAACGTGTTAATTGCTCTCCATTGAGTGCGTTTTAATTGAAAGCCCAGAATCGACTGCAAATCCCAATCGAAAATAGGGCAAGTGGATAGAAAAGCGCATGTGCTGCGATTGTTCAGTAGTTTCTCCTCTCATAATACACGACATACATTCTATTACACGCAAAAGTGAAATAAAAATATTATCCTTTTTGATATATTTTTTTTTCCCCCATAAATATAATGAAAGATAGAAATGTGGGTAAATATTTTCACTTAATTAATTCTTATCTAAATATACTCATTTATATTATATTATATTGTTTCAAGAGAGAAAAAACAAAATCAATCTCTTTTTACTTAATTTCTTTTCTATCTCGTTTTATATATAAATTATAATATTTTCTCACAATAATATTTACCCTAGCTTATTCCAATATTTTCTAATCATTTTCAACTTTTTTAATTTTTCTCATAGACATACAGAACTCTATATGCGCAGTGCATATTTAAAAAAAGAAAAAAATATCTCTTACTTTACTATAAAAAATACTTTAATTTTTCATCACGAGCTATAAATATAAAACCAATACAGAGTTTGAAAAAACATAATAATGTCGGATGGTAGAAAAATAAAAGAACATGTCCTCGAAAGTCAGAACATTTGATAGACATAGATGTCATTGCAAAAGTAATCTAAATATTCAAGTATAGATATTGATAAAAATACAAAATTTTGTATATTTTTTATTTTTTTGTATATTTTTTATTTTTATGTCTATATAAACAATATTTTTGTATTTGAGTATTTTATATTAAAATCCTGTGCCACATCATAAGTTGTTTCTGTGCAGATATTTCATCTCGAGGACAACCTAGGCGATGACTACGAGGAAGAATCCAGCAGTGCTGGCTACCATACGGACGAGAGTTGCAGCCCAACTCCGGAGCCCGTCGTAACGGGTAGCAACTGTGAAATTCTCAGCGTGGAGGAGAATTGCTCGGATTTAACCTCAGCGGACATTACGGTGGAGCGACTCGCCGAGAGGTACGGTGCTCTTTACGCCCAGGCCAATCTGCATACCCTGGACGCATTAGACGCGCTGGAGTCGCTCAAGGACGCTCCCGATTTAAAAGCGAAGATTCTCTACTCGGTGGTAGTGGTGAGTGCAACTTTAGATCAAGTAATCGCGATCAAAAATGTTACTTCGTTCGCTAAAGTACGATATTTGAAATCTCGTATATAAATGCCTTTCTTTGATACTATTATAGTTCTAATTTAACACATGAGAAATATATCTAATCATAAAATCATAAAACATAAAATTTTAATTAAATAATTGAAAATATTTTAGATAAAAAATAAAAATTTAAATTGTATATATTAACAGCAATCTTCAGTGGATAGCATAAATATTATGGATAAATGACAAAGTCAAATGTCAAACATTCGTATTACATACCGGAAATCGAAATATCTTTTTTTCTCATCGATCAATTTCGCACGACAGATAGTGCGCGACTTTCGCCGGATGAAAACGGTCGGATGTAACAAAAGGCGCAACGAAGCGATTATACGAGTAGCACTCGATCATCCGCAGAAATGCGTATGAATTAGTCACGTGCAGACGCGAAATTATCGTGCGAATATCTATTATACAATATGTCGTTGTCCCGCTTTGCACATGGATTATTAACGGAATCTGAATAAAAAAGATTTCCCAAAAAAGGCTTCGACTATTTACTTGTGTGACAACACATTTCGTTAACCATCTGGTTTAACGTCTGACTTAATGTCAGTATCTCGTCAATGTATGAGTAAGTTGATTGACTCTATATAATTAATTCTATAGGAATAACACACGGTAGATATAAATGATAAAAAAATGTTTATTTTAATCGCGATGTAAATAACATTTTGACATAGATATTTATTCGCGCTAATATGCAAAATGTAATTAATTTTGCAAAAGACATTCATAATCGATTTTTAGAGTATTTCTTTATATAATTTTTGTTTTTTTAATTTTTTTAATTTTGATTATTATGAGCAAATAATATCGAAAAATTGATCCCTCTCCCCCTGGGTAAATATTTTCACTTAATTAATTCTTATCTAAATATACTCATTTATATTATATTATATTGTTTCAAGAGAGAAAAAACAAAATCAATCTCTTTTTACTTAATTTCTTTTCTATCTCGTTTTATATATAAATTATAATATTTTCTCACAATAATATTTACCCTAGCTTATTCCAATATTTTCTAATCATTTTCAACTTTTTTAATTTTTCTCATAGACATACAGAACTCTATATGCGCAGTGCATATTTAAAAAAAGAAAAAAATATCTCTTACTTTACTATAAAAAATACTTTAATTTTTCATCACGAGCTATAAATATAAAACCAATACAGAGTTTGAAAAAACATAATAATGTCGGATGGTAGAAAAATAAAAGAACATGTCCTCGAAAGTCAGAACATTTGATAGACATAGATGTCATTGCAAAAGTAATCTAAATATTCAAGTATAGATATTGATAAAAATACAAAATTTTGTATATTTTTTATTTTTTTGTATATTTTTTATTTTTATGTCTATATAAACAATATTTTTGTATTTGAGTATTTTATATTAAAATCCTGTGCCACATCATAAGTTGTTTCTGTGCAGATATTTCATCTCGAGGACAACCTAGGCGATGACTACGAGGAAGAATCCAGCAGTGCTGGCTACCATACGGACGAGAGTTGCAGCCCAACTCCGGAGCCCGTCGTAACGGGTAGCAACTGTGAAATTCTCAGCGTGGAGGAGAATTGCTCGGATTTAACCTCGGCGGACATTACGGTGGAGCGACTCGCCGAGAGGTACGGTGCTCTTTACGCCCAGGCCAATCTGCATACCCTGGACGCATTAGACGCGCTGGAGTCGCTCAAGGACGCTCCCGATTTAAAAGCGAAGATTCTCTACTCGGTGGTAGTGGTGAGTGCAACTTTAGATCAAGTAATCGCGATCAAAAATGTTACTTCGTTCGCTAAAGTACGATATTTGAAATCTCGTATATAAATGCCTTTCTTTGATACTATTATAGTTCTAATTTAACACATGAGAAATATATCTAATCATAAAATCATAAAACATAAAATTTTAATTAAATAATTGAAAATATTTTAGATAAAAAATAAAAATTTAAATTGTATATATTAACAGCAATCTTCAGTGGATAGCATAAATATTATGGATAAATGACAAAGTCAAATGTCAAACATTCGTATTACATACCGGAAATCGAAATATCTTTTTTTCTCATCGATCAATTTCGCACGACAGATAGTGCGCGACTTTCGCCGGATGAAAACGGTCGGATGTAACAAAAGGCGCAACGAAGCGATTATACGAGTAGCACTCGATCATCCGCAGAAATGCGTATGAATTAGTCACGTGCAGACGCGAAATTATCGTGCGAATATCTATTATACAATATGTCGTTGTCCCGCTTTGCACATGGATTATTAACGGAATCTGAATAAAAAAGATTTCCCAAAAAAGGCTTCGACTATTTACTTGTGTGACAACACATTTCGTTAACCATCTGGTTTAACGTCTGACTTAATGTCAGTATCTCGTCAATGTATGAGTAAGTTGATTGACTCTATATAATTAATTCTATAGGAATAACACACGGTAGATATAAATGATAAAAAAATGTTTATTTTAATCGCGATGTAAATAACATTTTGACATAGATATTTATTCGCGCTAATATGCAAAATGTAATTAATTTTGCAAAAGACATTCATAATCGATTTTTAGAGTATTTCTTTATATAATTTTTGTTTTTTTAATTTTTTTAATTTTGATTATTATGAGCAAATAATATCGAAAAATTGATCCCTCTCCCCCCCCCCCCCACTCCCCACCATATCTTATT